TAAAATAATTTTTTTTTAAATTTGAAGAAGATAGAGGAAAAGATTTTGTGGGTGTTTAGTTTTTTTTAATTGAAGAAAAAAGATTTTGTTTGTGAGTTTTATTTTTTGAAAAATAAGTTAATTTATAGAAGATTTTTTTTAATTTTTGTAACGGCTTGTAACCGTTTGAAGGAAAAAATTCAAGGAAAAACGCCCGTTATACGTTTGACGCAATGCTAATAACGCCTGAATGAAGCCCCATGGGGGCGGTGTTTCACGCCCCTAGGGCGTTAAAAGAGGGATGACGGAGCTGGGCGTGAGTACCATTTCCAGTGCCCTGACAAAAAAGAAAAAACCACTTCCGAGTTCATAACAACATGAGGAAATCCATATTTTATATGTAGGGGAAGAATAAGTCTTTCTTAGAGCATGTGCAGTGGCAAGAAAGTGGAATACCTTGCACTGCCACATCAGCTCTTTCTACTCATATCATTGCATGGTAAAGCCAAAATGCCTTGCTTGGTGAGGCATATTCACCCTTCTTTTTTTAATTTTTTTTAAAATTCCTTTATGAAAACAAATGTATAAGAAAGAAGGATATTTTTTTTGATAAAATAAATAATAAAAATATTTTTTTTATGTTTAAAAAATATAAAAAAAGTAATAAAAATAATGACTTGCCACTGTAGAACTTGTCACTCCATTCACTTGCCACACGATGACTGAACATTTTTTTATTAGTTAAAATATTCCACGTCACCGTGTGGCATTTCATTTTTGCCTTGCCATTCTTGTTGTTCTTGTATTCTCACAATTAAAAAATGGGCCTCTACGGTCGAAATGTGATTTTTGCTCGTTACAATCACGTCAGCCCTAGAAATATGCCCGTTTTCAAGTGCCTCGCCGCAGTCCCTCCCATATATAGATCATCCATTCACGACTCGTCATCCAGATCTCATAAACCCTTCCATCTCTTTGCGATCTAGTTCTTGATTCGCTGTTTTCGTTTTTCATCGTGTTCATATGAATTCTCTTCGCATTAACTGTGTTTTGAAAATCTTGATTTTCTATCAGTTTTCAGTCTCTGAGCAGATCTTGTTTATCGGGTGATGATAAATTGAATTATACAGTTATCCCTGTCTGATGCTTCCATCTGCTGAGAATTCATCTCAAATCTGACGATGAACATTGATTTCAGAATCGATTTCAGAAGGATGCCGTTTCCTAAATTTTTTTCTGCAGATCTTTGTAATCAAGTAGTCATTCCTGCATCCCTCTGTTAATTTTCTGTCTTAATCTCGATGACAATTGCTTTTAGATTGGCCTAGATTTGTTATCTTCGCACGTCGCTCTCCCAGGCTCGTCTTAGTTCTTCATGAAGAAGAAGCAGCCCCAATGCTCGTGCGAAATCAAACCCGCCGTTAGTGTTGCAGTTTAGCCCTTGTACATATTATTCCGTGGCTTTTCTGTGTCAAATCAACGGCGAAAATACAATTTTCTTTTGATTCTAGTCATCTGTTTGAATTTGATCTTGAGGTTATGATTGCCTTCTCACCTTTAGCTTCCTTTCGAACTCTTCATGAAAGATGCGCTAGTCATGGAGGCAGAGATTTAAATCTGGTTTGAAGCGATGTTTTCATTTTTGTTTTTGATTTACACCTTTATTGGATCTGCTATATTTCCTGTGTTTCAAACTTAAATCTCAGGTTTTGAATCTCTGGTTCTTTTTTGAAGAATTTGGCGATGATTAGTGTTTTATCCGCGCTTCCGAGCTTTGGCAATGAAGCAGAAAAATAACAATGGTTGAATTTCTTAATATGAGCCTTAAGTTTTTTTCCCAGAATTTTGGTGTGAGTTAGTTGATCTACTGCTGTGATGATAACAATTCAGCTTTAAACGCCAGTTCTGCTTCTGAACATCATTGATTGAAAGAGCTGTTTTTGTTCTCTGAGCCTCTTAAGATCTCTCTGTTTTCCTCCATATTTTGTCTTTCTAGTCTTGAATTTTCCATTGAGTTTAACTATACTCTTTCCTGCTTTTATGGGCTTAGGGTCTGAAAAACTCAGAAAGCCATGTGTTATCTATCAGCTTCTTCTCTGCAAAAACTGAGCTTGGAGTTAAATCATAGCACAAAATCACTTGTGATATTGATAACCATCTTCACATTTTCGATTTTATGAAACTTTTGCCATTGATGATCAAATCCATATAAATGAGGTGTGGTGGAGCCAGGTTCCTGCTTGCCAGGATGAACCTCCTGTGTGAAGTCATATTCCATATGATATTTCTGGATTTAACTGAGGCAAATCTATATCTTAATCTTTCACCTTTGAATTATTTATTTACACAATCTTTCTTTTTTGTGATTGCTAGTGAGGATTTAATCCATTTAACCTGAGATGTTGTGGATCTGGGTTCTTGCTATGCAGGGCGAACCTACCGGGGAATCTACACATTCATATGAATTTTCCGGATTTAACTTAGGCAATCAAAATTTCTTTGTTTTCTGCGACCAGCATTGAGTCTATCTATTTCAGCAACCAAATGGCTACTGGTTTGGATTGCGGACTGAAGACTCATATATTGAGTGCTGTCCATCACCTCCTATCTTAGGATGTATTGGAATGGAGTCAAATATAGCACAATATACTTTGTCATATTTTACATTGAATTTGGATTGGATATTTTTCTTGATTTGCAGGCTTTTTGTGTCTGCATTTAGGAAGATTGCAATTGTAACACTCGCTATGACTGTATTGTAAGCATAATTGAAGACCCGTGCTTTTTTCCCCACTGTCTTGGACACAAATGTAAACTTGTCTCCCAAATTGGCGTACTAATTACTTGAATTGTTAATTGTAATTGCGAAATTGTTAAGGGTGTTAAATCCCACCCCAAAAATGTACTATTCAACTTTTTTAATTTAAATTTGCTTAATTTATATAGATGATAGACATTGTCAACCAAAACCAATGTCTAAAATGATAAAATTGACGAACACGTCCTTGCGTAATGTTAAACACAAAATATTCTAGCACAAGAATGAAAAGAAAATTTGTGGACCTCAATCAATGCCAAATACATAGTGACTCGACAAAATTATTCATTATAAAGTTCAAGAAATAACTTGCACGCCAAGGGTAAATGAAAAACAATTGGAGTAGTTAATTTCTGCCTAGAAACGCCAGATAACAAAGAGGAGATTCAATAGGGGTTAGGGGTATTCATTTTTAAAATTTAAAATAAGGATTAAGCTATGTGTACCCCAACACTTATACCCTAATTTGTATCCCACAAGTTTGCACCAACATTTTATGTTGGTGTAAAATTAATTTTTGTTAACGCACCAACACTTTGTGTCCGTGTAAATTTTTGTTAACGCACCAACACTTGTGTCGGTGTAAATTGTCAAAATGTTTGTGCATAAGTGTGGTGTACAAATGGTGTACATTTTTTGGTGTAAATGTAGCATGATCCTTAAAATAAAGGTGAAGCATTGAAAATTATAGTATGAAGTCTACAATTCTTTGACATTGTTTGGTGTAAATGACTATGATGTATTCCCTCCGTCCACAATTTATCTTCCCATAATTTATCCCCCTCATCCTTTCTACCATGTTCCCCATTAGCAGCGCCATCTACCAAGCGCCATCTACCATGGCCAATGCCAAAACTTCTGCACCGCCGCAGGCAACGCTTCCGCATTGGTTGTAATCGAATCGAATATTCATGAAAAATATTCATATTCGTTAAGATGGAGTGATATTTGAATTTGAATTCGAATTCGGTTCAAATATTTTTTAAGATTCGAATTCGGTTCGTTTAATATATTAAACATATTCAGTTCGTTTAAATATTCGATTCATTTAAATATATTCGGTTCATTTAAAATTATTTAGTTCATTTAGATTTTAAAATATTTTATAACCATTTGATATATATATATATATATATATATATATATATATATATATATATATATATATATATATATATATATATATATATATACTCCCTCCGTCCCTAAATGGATTACAATTTTTTTTCTCTCTCCTCTCGATAACTTTTGTTTGTTTACGCGATTTCATTAGGTATTTGATAAAATAAAATATTCTTGTCACCTCTTGTTTTGTAGAACTTTTCACGTAGTTTTTTAATATGTAATTTTTATATCTTATTAATATACCAATTTGTAAATAAAATGATTTCAAAAAGTAAGAAATTTTACTCCGTAACCCGCAATTTGTAATCAAATTGGGGACGGAGGGAGTATATATATCTCACCCTAATATAATAAGCCCCTATTTTGTTAGGAGAATGCTAAAGAGGCACCACGTGTGCCTCCAAGCCTGCCACCCAATATATTTATTTTTTTTCAGTTTCCCTTTTTTCTTAGTCTTTTCATCTCCTCTCTTCTTCCCCAAAATCCCCCCTTTTCATCTCCATTTTTTCGGCAATTCCAATTCGCCGGCATAGCAGGAATTGCAGTGCCAGACAACTCCAATTCGGACAACTCCAGCGCCGGCAGCCCCACCCCTACAGCTCCAGCGCTGGCAATCCCACCCCTCCAGCTCCAGCGCTGGCAGCCCCACCCCTCCAGCAGCGCCGGCAGCCCCACCCCTCCAAACAGGTATTGACGCTAACTTTCCTTTCCTTGGTCTCTTTCTTTATCTCTCTCTATTTCTAAAATTGATATAAACCCTAGGGGGTTCGGATCTTGAATTTTATTCTACATTGGAATTTTAGCATCTTTAGTAAATACTCCATAGTAATTAATAATTTTCGGACAGTTTCGAAGCATCAAAGACCATATGCCCTAATTATGGTTTAAAAAGTAATAATCATGGGCCGTTCAAGGATCCAGTTTATGATATACTCAAGATTTACTTCTTTTTTTTTAAAAAAATTGATTTCTTCAAAACTTAGCAGAAGAAAGCAACCAGGGGAACCAAGTTCACAGACGATTAAGATCTGTCATTTGAACTTATATAACATTATTGTCTGTGAAAGATGTCTACTTGTTATTTTTGCTTACTTTCTGTGAATTGTATGTCATAGACGATTAAATTCTGTTTATTGAACTTCATATATGATTATTTTTTGTGTATATATTTAACTTGTGTTAATTGAACTTCATTTCAGACGATGTCTTTGTTGATGTATGGCAATTGTGGAGTGATGGTGCTACCATTAAGCACGGACTGCAGTTCTGAACACATAGTTGATTTCCGATGTCAATTTGCAGCTAGGTTATGGCGTGGAAGGAAAACAACCAATATTTAGCTTTTTTACTTTACAATTTTAGAGGTCTTTAATTTTTTGAAACTCTTTGTAATGGTTTTTGTGCTTTTGTAATGTATTTTTTGGGAAAACACTTTAGATTTTTTTGAAAGCTTTGTAATGGGGCTTTTATCATCATGAATTTCTACGTGTTAATGCACAATTTGTTAATGTGTGTGATGACTGATTTACATTAGTTTATGACTGAATTACAGATTTACTTTCAGAGACCTCACAGATAATAACTATTTATTTTACCCATTACACAGAGTTTTAATGTATGTGATGACAGAGTTACATAACATTATGTACATACACCATCTTCAGAATCTTATCACATAAGTGGGGGTCTTGTAAATGCAAAAGGAAAGTTAAAACACATACATTAGATTTCATGGTGCTCACATGGAATAACTGTCTATGTCACACACTTCACAAAGAATTAATGTATGTGAAGACAGAGTTACATCAGGACAGAGTTACACCAAATGCAGAGTGCATACAGATTATTAGTATCTGTGACAAGGACAAACCCTAGGTTCACAGAACTTTAATCTCTGTAACACCAAAATAAAACATTTTTTTTCCACTACTTCAAATAAATATACAATGGGGTCTAAATATCAAGCCATACAATGTAAAAACACAAGCAAAACCAGTAACCAAAGTAAGGGCCAAGGCTCGTCCTTGACAATCCGATTGTTCAGTGTCCGTCCGTCAATCCCAACTGTCACCAACTCAAAACTGTCAATTAACTCAAATTAACCATGAAACTTTAAATCCACTAAATCCATCAAGTTGAGTTTTGTTTACCCTAAAAACTGAAATTAATTAAANAAAACAGGAAAAAAAAACTAAACGGCAAGAGAAACGTGAAAAACAGCAGATTTCAATAATTGACAAAAAAGCAGCAAAAAAACATAAAAAACAGCAGAAAAAAAACAAAAAAACCGAAAAAAGTAATAGCAAAAAATAACAGAAAAAGATAAGAAGAGGAAGATTGATATGAAGATCTGAATTTGATATGAAGAGGAAGATAAGAAAAAAAAACATATTACCTTCCAAGGATAGCGCAGAAGGGAGAGGAGGTCGTGCGCGCGGCTGACTGGCGTAGAAGAGCAGAGCCGGAGGGGGGAAAGAAAAAAAAAGAAAGAAAAAGTAAAAAAAACATCTTAAATAGGGAGGCATCGATGGAGGCAGGGGTGGGTGCACTGTAGCACGGTCCATTTTGTTATCTCTGGTCCTTTTACCGTTTGTTTTTCCACTTTGAGTTAACGGACGTTTGGCTTTGTTCTTTCCACGTGCTTTTCTAAGTTTTCTTTTCCTCATCGGTCTTCTACACACCCTTCATCCACAGATCCACTGGCTTCTCCATTCTTAGTTCGTCATTCATCGAGGTTGGTAATGTTTTTTTTGCGAAATTTTTGAATACCTATTTTGGGTTTAGGGTTTTCACATATTTTTGAGATCCAATTTTCACTCCAACTTTTAATTTCGTGTAGCTTTGAATCCATAGAAATTAATTGTAGACATTTTTTAAAACCTGGTGATTGAAAACTGCTTTTTATTTTACTCTTCACAGAGATCAGATGATTAAATTGAGTTTAATTCAAACCACAATTTTTATTTGCAGTCGGGTTTGATTTAATTTTCCCTTCCATGCTAGCTTTTGGATTATCGTTGATAGTTTGAATTTGTTTTGCTTTGAATTTGTGTTTTAGAATATGCATTTAATTTAGAAGTCTGAAAACCGTAGCTCTTACTTTGGATTTGAATTTTTTTTAATTTATATTTTCAAGTTCCTCAAATCTATTTTATATGGAGTACTTTTTTTGTTGATTTGCTTTTAGAAACTTAAAATAAATCACATTTGTTATGCTCTTTCTTTTTCTATTCTTGATTTGGGGATTTTAAATTGAATTAGATTCAAACTTATTCTCACCATCCACATTTCTTTTAAAACCAATATCATTTCTTGTGATTGTTTTAATTTCCAACCCAATTCTTATCAGACGAACAGAAAATTTCACATCTAATATTTTTAGATAACGCCTTGAGGGAAACCTCATCAAAGCATGGGAAAAAATTGAACCAAGCCAAAAGGTAATTTTATTTTTGTAATAATAACAGAAGGGAATTTTGAAAGGTTATTATCTTGCTTGGGGTTCACTCGAAAAATTACTTTGTATATTTTTACATTATAATCTTCAAGACTAATTGGACAACACATTTTATTTTTAAAACACAAAGTTTTTTACTTCGTTTCGTAAGCACTTCATTTGTTTTCACGTTTCTTTTTGTTATTATTTTCTTCATTTGGATGTTTTTGTAGCTTTTCATCACAAATGGTTTATATAACTTTCCGTTACTATTTAAAACGAACACATTTAGATTTACATATAGTGTTTATCTTAGCAAATTAAATACTCTTTTCTTTTATGCAACTCATGGACCATTTGTGTCCCTTTTTTTAAGGTTAATCTCTGTTGCACTTATCTTCAACATTTTACAATTCAGATAGACATATAAAATCATTATTTCTAAATAACATAGTAATTTTAAACCCCTCATTAATTAGTACTCAAATGTTACTGCATTATTCATTTGTTCTTACATTGATATCACAATCGATTGAAATTTGACGTGTGTTTTTGCAATTTAGATTGATTGATTGAAACTTGAAGAACCTTTTTGTAATGACTTGGTTTGACATCATTGTATTATGGTTTATAAATAATGTAATACGGAGTAGTTGTTTTTATTCTCATATTTAGAACCCGATTTTATTATCAATTGATCTTATTAACTATTTTAATTGTTTCTTACGCTTAAAACCTTTTGCATTGTTACTCATTGTCAGTTAACTTCCGTTTTGACATTAATACAGGGCACTAGCACAAATAGCGCTTCAAAGCTACACTTTAATTTGGTCATAAGAGATTTATCCTGTGTTGGGTACCACTCAGCACAAAATGTGCGAAAGTAGAATTGAAGCAGTATTATTAAAAATGAGGCACCCATGCACTTGGTTCTGCTCATGAATTCTCTTTCATTACTCAATTGCATTATTAGCTTCATTTCTTACATAAATGCTAAATTGTATTGTAAGAAAATACTGGGAACTTTTGACAATAAGTGCAATGTCTTGGGCACCAAATGCACGAAGTGCATTTCTAAGCTAGTATATATATATATACATACATATATATATATATATATATATATACACACAATTAGATTTATATTCCGAATATGTTTGTCAAACTCACGAATCGAATACCCTTAATTCATATTCGCATTCGACAAGGATTCAAATATTTATTCAGATTCGTATTCGTATTCGGATTCGAAAAAATCGAATACGAATCACCTTAAACGAATACGAATCACGAATCGAACAAAAAATATTTGATTCATTTACGTCCATACTTCCGCACCGCCGCCAGCGACGCTTCCGTACCGCCACCTTCGACGCTTTCGCAACCCCCGCAATCGAAAGCCCCCCCCCCTTGCAGCGCCCCGCCGTCGCAAGCCCCCTTCCATCGCAGTTCCCAGGCATCCTCTCGCCGTCGCAATCCACATCCATCGCCGTCGCAGACCTGCAATCTGCATCCCTCTCAAAGATCTGTTTTGAGACTTCTAGTTGAGGAAACTCAAAATCCCACCACAGATCTGGAAATAATTAAAAATATTGTCACTGCAAATCTAGATCTAGATCCGGCGAAGATGCAACCTAGAGATCTGGAAATTTCTTCTTTTAGTTGATGAAAGAAGAAGGAAGAAAAAAGAGAAAAAATGAAGAAAGAAGAAGAAGAAGAAGACGGAAGAAGAATGCAGAAAAAGAAGACGGAAGAAGAAAGCATAAGAAGAAGACGGAAGAAAGAAAAAGAAAGAAAACAATAAAGAAAGAAGATGCGGAAGAAGAAGGAAAAAGAAGAAGAAAAAGAATGAAGAAGGAGAAAAAGAAAGAAAAACGGAAGAAGAAAAAAATCAGTAAAAGAAAGAAGAAAAAGAAAGAAAGAAGAAAGGGAGAGGAAGAAGAGGATAAGGGCACAATTGACATTTCATTTACAAAAATTTTCCTAAAATAGAAACGGGAAGTTTTTTTGTGGGTGGACGAAAAAGGAAAGCGAGAAGTTTAATTTTGGACGGTGAAGTAAAAATTGTTTTGTGTAAATGACTATGATGTAAAAAGCAATGGCGTGTGATAAGACTAAATGAATAATGATAGAGTTTTAAAGTACTACTCCCTCAATCCCAAAATATTTGCTACATTACTTGTACTTTTATATTTTAATTGGTTATTTGATAAAATAAAATATTTTTAACACATCTTATTTCGAAAAATTTTTAATGTAATTTTTTGATATGTAAATTTTATTTTTTATTTTTAAACCAACTTGTAAGTAAAATGAATTGAAAAAATTTGATATTTTGCCTTGAAATACAAGTGTGACAAATATTTAGAGACGGAGGGAGTAATTATTTGATTGATTGAGATAGAATTATGTTAACTTTTAATTGATTAGATTTATAAAAGAAAAGAGAAGTGATAAAGTGGTGTGAGAGAGTTATTGTAAGGGCAATGGAATTGGTTGTAACGTCAGGGGCATTATTGCTGCTTATAACACCAAAGGGGCAATAAACACCGCCCCTTAGGGCTTCATACGAGCTTCATCCCTTATGCTTCAAATGTTTAACGAGCTTCATCCATTAAGAAACAACAAAAATTGCATTAATGCCATAAGATTAGATATTTTTTTTACTCTTTATATTCTTTCTCTTTAAAAAAATAAAACATACACAAACATAATTTTTTACTCTATATTTTATTGTTTAATGTAATATTTTTTTGTTTAAATTTTCTTTAGTATTGCAATTTTTTTGTTGTTTTTTAAAATTTAACGTACTTTTTTACTCAAATCTTATTTTGTTAATTTACTTTTTATTGATTTTTTTATTTAATAATTTATTTTCATTTAAATTCAATTAATTGATAAAATGTTATTAATTTAATTTTAGAAGATTTATATTTAAAAATATAAAAAATAGAGGTTTGAAGCTCTGAGACTTTAAAGTTTAAATCCATTTTCAGTGAAATTTTGGTGTAAGTTAAAGCTGATGTAGTAGAGAGAGAAGATTTGAAGTCCCGATTTGAAACAGCAATAACGCCCCTGGCGTTACAACCAATTACATTGCCCTTTTAGTGCCCCTTTGCTTTTAACACAAATAGGTAAATAACCCTCCCTAATCTATTCAAGACAACCCATCAAGGTCTAATGAAAGGAACTCTCTAGCGTGTTCCTTTTTTGCTCGTGTTTTAAAATTAAGATGTAATGACTTTATTTTTCAATATGGATAATTTTTGAAAGAACAATAACAGGAAAAAACCATCTCAATTCTAGAAGTACTTTTTTAACCTTTAAAGTCAAAGTCTAACCCTTGATATAGCTCCATATGAACGTAGAGAAATCAATTTTCTCTTTTCATTTGGACGAACGTGGGTGGAAAATGAAAGCAAATTTGAAAAAACACTTTGCTTTTCCTTTATTTCTTTTCAACACACGCTTAGTTGCCTTTGTTGAGCAACCAATTTGGTCAAAAACAATTGCATGGGATAAGCAGCATAAATTGGGCAGTGAAATTACCTATACCGTCTTCTCCAAGATCTGATTTCTCTCAACGAACTATAACGTCCATTGAACAATCAATTCCTTTTTTTTATATTATTATTGTATGTTTTTCTGCTGCATTGAGATTCAGATATGAATTGCAAATTCTCCGACGATCCAATCACAAGGGAATTCTATATTCCGACGTATATCCTGTCGCCGGATGCCGCCGGCGAGACAACGGAGACGTTACAGGATGTGCCGTCCTCGCCGGTGGTGGTCTTCATCAATTCTAAAAGTGGCGGCCAACTTGGAGGGGATCTTCTTCTCACCTTCCGCTCTCTGCTCAACAAACATCAGGTAGAGTCTATCCGTTTTTGTGTGCGAGTTGATGGTTGATTCGTGCGGCTAATGCGATTTACGGCTCAGGTGTTTGATTTGGGAGAAGAATCGCCAGATCGGGTGCTGCGCAGGCTGTATCTGAATCTAGAGAAGCTGAAGAGCAATGGTGACGTGTTGAGTTTAAAACTGCAGGAGAGATTGAGAATTGTTGTGAGTTGAGATTTTAATTTTCTTCCGAGCTTCTTTCGTTCGGTTTGTTTAGGTGTCTACACTCTAATGTTAATGGAATTATGTAGGTGGCTGGCGGGGATGGCACCGCTGGCTGGCTCCTTGGTGTTGTTTCTGATCTCAAATTATCTCCACCTCCACCCATAGCTACCATGCCTTTGGGAACTGGAAACAATCTCCCTTTCGCATTTGGATGGGTACGTATAATGCTTGGTCAAGTCTGTATCCTACCTCTTTTTTCCTCAATGCACAAGCTAACTTAATATGAATGAACTCTTTGTTTAGTGTTGGACAAGTCTGTATACTACTTTGTTTTTCTCAATGCACAAGCTAACTGAATATGAATGAACTCTCTAATAAGTTTTGGAAAATACTCACCAGTCACCTCTTAAAAGCTCTTATGAGTTTTGAGTTAGACCTACTACATATTTTCAGCATTTATTGTTATGGGCCACCAAAACACTCACACAATGTAGCAGTTGAACTATCCATTTTTAGCTTTTAGTGTCCAGCCATGCAAGCTAAGCGGAAAATTTCTGGTTGTTTTCTCCATGTGTTGATGTATTAGATGTTTTCTTGTTTTAGCAATGCATCTGTGTGATGTACAGTTTGTAATATACAGGGGAAGAAGAATCCAGGAACCGATAAGCAGGCTGTGCTCTCTTTCTTGATCAAAGTGAAGGATGCAAAAGAAATGAACATAGACAGGTTTAGTTTTCAAAATTCTGACGCAAATTTTGTTAGGAAACCTCAATATTTCTCATGGACAAAGTATGAATTCATACATGAAAAATGGTATCTTGTGGGGAGTGTTCTTTTACCTAAGAATTGGCCATCTTCTTTAGCTAAAAACTTTTCAGATATTCCATAAGTAGAAAATTTGTATCTATTAAGTTCTGTTGCTGAATTAGAAAAAAAAGTTTCCTCCCTATGGGCTGTACATGTATATCAGTTTGCCTTGTGCATTTTGGATTCAATATTTGAGTCATTCACATCCAGTCTAATGTTTGGGGTTTGTGAAATATTTCCCTTAGCAAGGTTTAGCATAGCTGATTTGTCCAGGATTTCAGGCATTACATAACTTCTAAAAGTTCTAATGACATATCAACTTTAAGTTTTTTAATTATAGCAATGCGCCAATGCTATTACTTGACACTTCTGTATTAGTTGAAAGATGCTGAAATACTTGAAATATGATGTAGTTGGCATCTTCTGATGAGGATGAGAGCACCAAGACAGGGTTCTTGTGATCCGATTGCACCTCTTGAATTGCCTCACTCTTTGCATGCTTTCCATCGGGTGTCTGAATCTGACGAACTCAATGTGGTGAGATGAAGTTCTTCTTCTCCTTCTCCTTTATTTGTGTGTTAACTACTACTGGGTGCATCTTCAAAAATTGATTCTCGTTTCTAATACGGAGTACTAAAAGTAAAGACAGTATAGAGAACACGGCTTCCTTTTTTGGACTGAGACAACATTATATTACGGAGTAGTATATTTGGTCGTTTAACAACATTGTACTAAAAATACTTTTCTCTCCATGATTTGTTTTTTGAGGGACCTCTCCATGAATATTATAAGCAATGAGTGGTTCTCGCACAGTAGTGCTTTGTTAATGATTTGCCTTATCCCCAATATCATATTGAACTCTTACTAATGGACTGTCTCTTATCCTGGCCAATTTAATTCCATCTTGTCGAATATTGAATTACATTTATTGAAAATCTTAAAAGGCCTATACTCTACAGTGAAAGACTATTGCTTGTGATAGTCTACATACACTTGGATGCCCTCCTGTTTTCAAATTACTTCTTAATCATTCAAATTAAGAAAAAGAGAGAGCTATGGCTGTGTCATTTTTTTATGCTAAACTTTTGCATTTTATTCAGGAAGGCTATCACACATTCCGTGGTGGATTCTGGAATTATTTCAGCATGGGTGAGTTTATATTTGGCCAATAAAGCCTCTTAAAGTTAATTAGCTTTCTCATTTTCTTGGCTGGTCTTTGTCTCCTTAATTTAATATTTCTCATCTAGTTTTATATAACAATGCTTCTTGGTTGGGCTTATGCCCCTCTCTGAATGCACTTTTAGTATTAGTTCACTATTAGGGTGCGTTCCTTTCACCTGATCAAATTTGATCTAATTTTTTTGAAGATATGGTCTGGTCTGATTATAGTTATATTTAAAACTATTTATGGTCTGATTTTAATAAGAATAAGTAATAAGCTGAAAAAATAAGGGGAACGGAGTGGACCCTTAGTCGGGTATCTGAAGGGTCCAATATTGCACACATTAAGCTGCATTACCCTGAAATCTACAACAGCTCATGAATACTCCAATCTTAATGGTCCACTTAAGTGTCTTCAAATTCAGTTTGCCCGCATTTTCTCCTGGCTTAAGCAGAATTAGGTTTATTTTTATTTTTTATTTTTTATTATTTGTTCCTGACATTCTGTTGACAGGGATGGATGCACAAGTATCATATGCATTTCATTCTGAACGGAAGCTGCATCCAGAAAAATTCAAAAACCAGCTTGTGAATCAGGTATAATATGCTTAATTCTACAGTATAGTGTTGGTAATAAGTTATATGTTTTCAGTGGAGTAAAAATGAGGGGATTTCTAAGCTTTATATTCTTTTGGATTGGTCAGAGTACATATGCAAAGCTAGGGTGCACACAAGGATGGTTTGCTGCCTCAATCTTTCACCCTTCCTCAAGGTGAGTATAAATGCTCGGTGCAATAATGAATTTGTTTCTTTATATGGTAAACTTAATGAATGCCTTGCTGTGAGAGAGATGTTGATATTGTAGCTTGTACAAGCATAATGGCTATAAAGTTAAACCTTTTTCCTCCCCTAATTTGTTCAGTGAATTGTCCATTGCCAGTGGAGCTAAAATAGCAATGGTTGCAATGTTTTAGGATTTTAGCTTCGGTAAATGATGGTCCAAGTCAAAGTTGCACATTAGGTTTCCTTTGCTTCTTATGTTCTTACTTTCCAAGACGCTTTGGGTAGTAAATGCAACAATGCATCGAGTGTTACCGAAAACAGTCTCTGTTATTTACGGGGTGCAAGGCGATGCACATCTTGACCCCTTAGACCCCAAGGAAGTTGGGATTGTATTAGGTGCCTTGTTTAATTTTTTCCGTGAAGCAAACCAAACTTGAAGCCGCGTTATGTATCATCAGTTGCTAATTTCAGAATCTCTGTAGGAACATAGCTCAACTAGCAAAAGTTAAGATCATGAAAAGGCCAGGAGAATGGAAAGACCTCAAAGTTCCGCACAGGTAAATTAATTAGCAATGCCCTTCACAGAAATATGTGGATCTCTGTATCAATGCAGCATGTCTAAGGTGATCAACATACAGCTAAATTCTTCTTCTTTCCCCTCACATTTTCAGCATCAGGTCAATTGTATGCCTCAACTTACCCAGCTTCTCTGGTGGGCTGAACCCTTGGGGAACACCAAATATCCACAAGCGTCGAGATGTATGTATCTGTACTACTCCTTCTGTCCCTACGCTTGAACAAACGACTAGTTGTGCATAACTCAGACCAAAACAAATACAGAGTATAATTATCGCGTTATCATTTGCCAATATGATTCCATCATTTGTCTCATGATATTTTTAATCAGTGTAGAAATAACATACGATGATGGCAGTTTTAGAATTTGCATCTTATTAATCCTTCTAGTAGAGGTTGCGACAAGAAGGCCATCAGACCTAAAACATTGCCACTGTGTTGTTTTCGTGAACATAATGCTAATTAACTTTATAAAATCCATTGCCACGATAAATTCGATGTTGCTGACCCCCAACTCTTTGGGATTAACGCGGTGATGATGATTTACCAATATGCAGAGGGACTTGACTCCCCCATTTGTAGATGATGGACTCATAGAAGTTGTTGGCTTTAGAGATGCTTGGCACGGACTGGTTTTGCTAGCTCCGAATGGACACGGCACACGTCTTGCTCAGGTTTTGTGACATTTACAACAACAACAACAACAATCTACTCTCATTTCTATTATCTTTACTCAATAGAGATCTCATGTCTTCTCCTTAACCTGGCTCTTTAGGCACATGGAATCAGGTTTGAGTTCCACAAGGGGGCAACAGAAGAGACATTCATGAGGATTGATGGGGAGCCATGGAAACAACCCCTCCCGGTGGACGATGACACGGTGGTGGTGGAAATATCTCATCTAGGGCAGGTCAAGATGCTTGCCACCCATGACTGCAGGGCCAAGAGTGTGTATGACCCCTCTAGCCCATCCCACCGAACCGGCGATGATGGAGATAGTGGCGGTGAAGAAGATGATTCCATCTCCGAGGAACAGAGAAAGTTTGGGGCTGCAGACACCTTCAAGATTCCCGACGAGATCGACATTTCTACTCTCAGTTAAATACCATCCATCTCTTCTCACATTCTTTTAATTTATAGCACTTGAAAAATACCATAATGCCTTCAGTTTTTTTAATTATTATTTAAAATTCCTCCTTTAATTGCTGTACATAAAAGGGATAGCACCGCTCTCATTCTCTTACTCCCTCTCTTTGTCCCTTAATCTGCTTTTTTTCTTTTTTTTGGTATTTCAGAAATAAATGTCATCTTCTCTTTCAGTCCAAGAATAATGTGTGGTTATATTTTTTTTGTCTTTCTAAAATATCTAATTCATTTCTCACACAGAAATTTGAGTGAAATTTTGCATATTGAGGAACACAAAGGAGGTTATAAAATGCAGTGTAGCAAAAGAAGAGAAATTGTTTGAACATGAAGATTTGTCAAAGAGACGTTGAACAATCTATTGGAATTTCGTTTTCTTTACTATAATACCGTTGTAAATTCATAAAAAACCAACCGATCAACAAATTTATATTGTAAATATGCAGTTACGAATGAATAAGTCAATTAAGGTAATAGGAATTATACATAAAATAATGCCCAATAGAAACAATTCTATCATATATTCATATACGGAGTATAAAATAAAGTAAAAAGAGGATGTATTGGTAAGTTTGTGAAGTTTGTGTGTAGATTGTTTGTGACTCTAACATTACTGATACCAAATATACAAATTATTAAGACGTAATATTAAAATCCTTTGATAGGAATTGAGGGAAAAGTACTCCCTAACTTAACATGCTACGGAGTGTATGATTTGACAATTCAAAATAAAGTCTCTAAATAATCTTTCAAAATAAGTGTCAACTTAAGCCTCTTATTTAAGTCTTAATTCAATTCAAATCTAAAGATTGAAACTTGGAGTCTGGATATGTTTCTAATTTAAATTAAATTTTGGAGTCCTTTAACTAGAGTGTAGAGTTTACAGATAAAAACTTGGAATCTAAATATTAGAGATCAAAATTTGAATAACTAAAATTAAAAGTTGAATATAATACTCCGTAAAACTTTAGAATATCTTTAACGGAGTTTGTTTAACTAAGATACGAGTGTTTCACAATGCAATTCTTCTTAAAATAAAGCAATTGGGGCTCAACATCAATTTCACATCAATTTTTTTTAAGTGAAGTAAATCACCATTAAAGAGACTTAGTAACAAGTTACTGCTGAAAAGTGTCAAAATTATTGTCCTAACCTACATTAGTATTACCATTTCTTATTAATGAAGAACAAACTATTTTAAGGACAGTTTTGTCATTTAAACTTAAACTTGAGGTTTTTTGAAAAGTAAAAAACTAAATCCAAACAAAGAGAGTATCTTACTTCCTTGAACAAAAGTATTATGCTATTCAAGAAGAGCATATTAGTTACCATTATATGGGGAAACAATCAACACAGGAGGGATAGATCTCCAATCACATCTTTGAAACAATATCCTGAATTGTGATTTTAAAAAAATGTGATGCAGATTTGCAAGTTGCCTGAGCTTTGGGAGATGGAAACTCTATTACAGCATAATACAACATTGATAAACAGAGTTTTTTTGTTAGCAGGAGGAGAATGTCAATGATGTCCAAACGGGGCGCAAGAGGAGATTTGAATTACCAGCCTGCAATTGGGTATATCCCCAAACATTTTTTTACAGCTTCATTAGGCTTCTGGCTTTCCCTTTCTTCCCTTTTCTTCTTCTCCCTGCAAAGGACTTAAATTTAAGAGGATACAATACCAAAGAAAGATATTCAACCTAAAAAGAAAGGGTCTGGTTTTATGGCCACGCTGTTTAAGTGGCCATGGAGGACATTGAACACCTACGGTGCTCTGTTCGCAAAACTTATAGTTTCTACTCTTCCTACCCCCCCCCCNACCGGAACCGGACCGGTACCGGTACCAAAAAATAGGTACCGGAACCGGTATCGAAAGTGGCGGTACCGGTACCGGTTCCCAGAACCAGTGACACGGCGACCTTGCCGGTGACGGTGGCGGGTACCGGCGGTACCGTTGCCGGTGACGGTACCGTTGCCGGTGACGGTACCGTACCGGTACCGTGTCCACCCCTAGGTAGGGCTGTCATTATTGTCTGCTCTATATCCGTTTAAAGATGAAATATTTGCATTCGTTTTAAATTGATATTATCAATATCTAATTAAGAATATCCGATTACTAAATAGATACGGATTTGATAATTGTATATTTGATTCGCTTAAAATCTGATCCGAATATGCATCTGTTTGAATAATCGTTTATTTGAATATCTGATTTGTTATATATAGGTTTTCTTGATTTTTTATGTTTATAGTATTTTGTTTCTCTATTGATATGTCAAAATATAAGACATTTTTATATACTCACAAAATAAATGTGTGGATACGTAAAAATATGTACAGACATAAAAATATGTTTATATGTGTGCTATGTAATTTTTTATAATATGAAGTTATCGTATAATATCATAAATAATAAAAACAAAGAAAATAATCATCTAGTATCAAATTATAGTTGATTTAATAATAGTTTGACTTTAATCTAATTTAAAATTAAAGTATTGTTTAATTAGATTTTTTAAAAATTGGAAATAGATACCGATATATCTGATATCTGACGGATGTAGATATAGTTTTGATTTTTAGTATCTGTCAAGATCCGTATTTAAATTATATATCTGATAAAAATAAACGAATACGAATTTGGAAATGACACATTTGATCCGATTAATATTCGTTTACACCTTTATTGTTTGGTGTAAATGACTATGATGTAAATGACTAATTCGTTTACGAATTATATATCATTTACACCCTTATTGTTTGGTGTAAATGACTATGATGTAAAAAGGGATGTGTTTTGGTGTGGGATAAGAATAATGATAGAGTTTTAAAGTACTGATTATTTTAATTGATTGAGATAGAATTATGTTAACTTTTAATTGATTAGATTTATAAAAGAAAAAGAGAAGTGATAAGGTGGTGTGAGAGCTATTGTAAGTTTGAGTTGTGTAATGGTGTGATATCTTTATATATAAATAAAGATATTAAAGGTTAAAGTGATGTGAAAATTAAATGAGAAGTTAATTTTAGAATGGATGGATCATGTATTTAATGAATAATTTTTTTAAATAAATATTTGATTTTTATGTGTAATTTTAAATTCAATATTAATGAAAACTTTATTATATATTTTAAGTTGAATAATTTAAATTAAAATAAAATTTAAAAATAAATCAGGGGGACGAGAATGAGATATGATAGAAAAGAGAAAAAACTAATGTGACGACTGAGTGATAGGAAGAGATGTTTTGATAGCATTATCCACTCCTTTGAGTCTAATGTTATATACGGAGTAATATCTCATATAGGGGTGGACACGGTATGGTTTCGGGACGGTTCCGGTTCTGGAACCTCCGGTTCCGGTACCGCCACCCCTTGGTACCGGTACCGGTATCGGATCGGCCGGTACCGGTACCGCCGGTTCCGGTACCGTTTCGGCCACCCCTAATTTTGTTTTTTTTTTGCTTTTTTATTATATTTTTAAAATGTAAAATTGTAAATGTGTAATTGTTAAAGGAAATGATGAAATAAAAAAATCTAAAAATGAAATTGATAAAGGAAAGAATGAAATAAAAAAATAAAAAATAAAAACGGTAACGGTACCGGAACCGGAACCGCCGGTCCCGGTACCGAAAAATGGGCACCGGAACCGGTACCGGATTGGGCGGTACCGGTACCGGTTCCCGGAACCGGTGGACCGTACCGGCCGACGGTAACGGTACCGGAACCGGCGGTACCGTTTCCGGTACCGGTACTGTACCGGTACCGTGTCCACCCATAATCTCATAGTTTATTTGAGGCCTTTAGCTCGAAAATGATAGCTATTGTAAGTTTGTACTCAAGTTGAATTGAGTCAATATTAGAGCATCCACATTCCTTAATACTCCGTGTAAAATTCATCTATTCAATGAATCTCTTATCCACATTATCTCCATTCATATATCTTTAAATACTTTATTTTTTAAATAAAACATTCACAATCTAATGCATCAATTATTTCATTCATGTGATCTTTCCTGTGTCCCAACTCCTACTCATATTTTATTTTAATTACGGAGTATTTTTTATAGTATTCATACTTTGTACTACATATTATATTATAAACTAATATTATGGTATGTTTGGGAACATGGATTTGGATTTCAAATCAGGATTTGGCTCAAATTCTATGTTTGGGAAACTTAGGGTACGTTTGGTATACAGAATTGATAGAATTGGAATTGAATTGGAATTAAAATTTCATGGGATTCAATTCCATAGAATTAAATTCACCAATTTCAATTCATTTTTTGCACTATCAATTTCAAATCTACATAATTTTTGTGCTATCAAACACCAGAATTGGAATTGAAGTCTTCAATTCCAATTTCATAATTTGAATTTCGTGTACCAAAAGGGGCCTTAAAAATTTTGAATTTTGATTTGAGTCAAATTCTTCTAATTCATAACAAAGCTTAATTTGAAATCCATGCATCTGCTATTGTCATTTGAAATTCAAGATTTCAAATTTTGGAATTGAAATGCTTAAATTGAAATGAAATGTTAGTGACCAAATACTACCTTAATGTTTTATTTTAACATATTAGATGAATAAAAATTAAAAAAATATTAAATTAAATATTTAGAAATTATGTAAATTTATACTTGGAAGAATCAAATTAAAGAAGATAATTACAACAATTTAATATAAATATTAATTCAATAACATTAACATTACTAAATAAAATTTATATTTTTTTTGCAAAAAAAAAGAAAAAAACAAAACTTAAAATTAAATAATATGAAACTATATTAACTATATTAATTAGTAATTTATATAATTAATTTATAATTAAAATAAAATTAGTTATTATAGCCATTTGATTATATCTTCTTAGATGATGTTGAATTCCTTCAAAGTGCTCTAAGGGTTGATATGTAAAGACTTACAGAGGAGGCCAATTTCAAAAGAAATACTCCCTCCGTCCTATAATGTTCTTTCCGGTTCTGTTTATGAAGTTTGACCGACTTTATTTTTAGTTCAATTTATTTAATTGTAGGTGTAAAATTAAAAAATAAAATTTATATATTTAAAAACTACATCAAAAGTTCTACAAAACAAGTGGTGACAAGACTATATTATTTTATCAAATACCTAATGAAAATAGGTAAAAAAAGTGATTAAAGTTTGACCGTGTGAATAGTAAGTGGGAAGAACATTTCAGGAAGGAGGAAGTATCTACTTTTCCAAATTTGCGTGTATGTGTTCTCTGCATCATTCCAGACATTTTTCATATCATTTTTGATTATTATCGAGCTTATGGCGTGAGTGGAGATTCTCAAGTATATATAAGTTCATGGTCTCCATTGTTCTAGCTCGTATAACACAATATTAAGACAAGTGCTAAGCTCTTCGATGCTTTTATGACACTTTTCATCCCAATAAAAAAGAACTAGCATTCTTCAAGATTTTGAACAAGGGCAAACCTCTTTCACCCAACTTTGATAAGAACTTTTTGATTTTTTTTTTTAAACCCAAAGGTAATGACTCATCAGTATCATTATGTCAAATCTAGAGGGAGCAAGAGTGTTTCGCTTTCGCTTCATATTTTTTGGCCATTAAATTAGATGGGTAGTCCAACCATGAAAGTGAGTAACTCGCACTTGACCATTTTATTTATGTTTGTTATTTTTCAATATTTTTAGTTCTTGTTTTTTTTAGTGTTAATTTAATCATGGTCTTTTAAACTACTTTAAAATTTTGATTTGTAAAATGTTATTACTACTTGAGTACTTGTTAGTGTCGCGCGTAGAAGAAAAAACCGAATCCCAAAAGGGATTCGGTTTGGTGACTTTCTTTGTTTGTTTTAAGTCTTGTTTTAGTACAAATAGAATTATGGTAGAATTATGTTTTCGAACATTTGAATATATTTTGCGATAAGTTGCAACGCTTCACACAAACTAAAGAAATAATTGTTTATTTTTACAACCATAAATATTCGAATGATTGACTACCAACATTGAAATGTTACTGAGAAATTTACAATGATTATCAACAAATATGTCCATTCAAAATTTTACCTAAAATACAAGGCACGTGATATGTTTCGAGACACCGGAACTGCTATACTCGTAATCTGAAAACGTTTATATGTGATTTGCTAAGTCAATCAAGCAATTCTTTATTTTTTTCGTATACCAATTCTTTGACGCTGCTTCGCAGCATTATTGTCTCTCGCAAAAATCCAACACCGAATTATTTTAGTCCTAAAGCAAACTCTATCAAATTGTTTGAATTGTAATGATATGCTACAAGTTTTATGAAATTTTTAACTCTTGCGAACCACCCCCCTCTCTCCAATGATATATTCGCGGAGCTAGAATTGAAGTTCATCCGAAATAGGTAAATGATCCTTCCTGTTCTATTCAAGACAACTCATCAAGGTCTAATGAAAGAAATTCTCTAGCGTGTTCCTTTTTTGCTCGTCTTTTAAAATTAAGATGTAACGATTTTATTTTTTGATATTGATAACAATGAACAAGAAAACAACATTTCAATTCTAGAAGTACTTTTTTAACCTTTAAAGTCAAAGTCCAACCCTTGATATAGCTCCATATGAACGTAGAGAAATCATGTTTCTCTTTTCATTTCAACACACGCTTAGTTGCCTTTGTTGAGCAACCAAATTTGGTCAAAAACAATTGCATGGGATAAGCAGCATAAATTGGGCAGTGAAATTACCTATACCGTCTTCTCCAAGATCTGATTTCTCTCAACGAACTATAACGAACAATCAATTCCTTTTATTATTATTATTATTACGGCCCGGTTCTGCTGCATTGAGATTCAGATATGAATTGCAAATTCTCCGACGATCCAATCACAAGGGAATTTTATATTCCGACGTATATCCTGTCGCCCGATGCCGCCGGTGAGACAACGGAGACGTTACAGGATGTGCCGTCCTCGCCGGTGGTGGTCTTCATCAATTCTAAAAGTGGCGGCCAACTTGGAGGGGATCTTCTTCACACCTTCCGCTCTCTGCTCAACAAACATCAGGTAGAGTCTATCCGTTTTTGTGTGCGAGTTGATGGTTTGATTCGTGCGGCTAATGCGATTTGCGGCTCAGGTGTTTGATTTGGGAGAAGAATCGCCAGATCGGGTGCTGCGCAGGCTGTATCTGAATCTAGAGAAGCTGAAGAGCAACGGTGACGTGTTGAGTTTAAAACTGCAGGAGAGATTGAGAATTGTTGTGAGTTGAGATTTTAATTTTTCTTCCGAGCTTCGTTCGTTTGGTTTGTTTAGGTGTCTAATGTTAATGGAATTGTGTAGGTGGCTGGCGGGGATGGCACCGCTGGCTGGCTCCTTGGTGTTGTTTCTGATCTCAAATTATCTCCACCTCCACCCATAGCTACCATGCCTTTGGGAACTGGAAACAACCTTCCTTTCGCATTTGGATGGGTACGTATAATGCTTGGTCAAGTCTGTATCCTACCTCTTTTTTCCTCAATGCACAAGCTAACTTAATATGAATGAACTCTTTGTTTAGTGCTGGACAAGTCTGTTTACTACTTTGTTTTCCTCAATGCACAAGCTAACTGAATAGAATGAACTCTTTAATAAGTGTTGGAAAGTACTCACCAGTCATCTCTTAAAAGCTCTTATGAGTTTTGAGTTAGACCTACTACATATTTTCAGCATTTATTGTTACGGGCCACCAAAACTCTCACACATGTAGCAGTTGAACTATCCATTTTTAGTTCTTAGTGTCCAGCCATGCAAGCTAAGCGGAAAATTTCTGGTTGTTTTCTCCATGTGTTGATGTATTAGATGTTTTCTTGTTTTAGCAATTCATCTGTGTGATGTACAGTTTGTAATACACAGGGGAAGAAGAATCCAGGAACCGATAAGCAGGCTGTGCTCTCTTTCTTGATCAAAGTGAAGGATGCAAAAGAAATGAACATAGACAGGTTTGGTGTTCAAAATTCTGACGCAAATTTTGTTAGGAAACCTCAATATATCTCATGGACAAAGTATGAATTCATACATGAAAAATGGTATCTCGCGGGGAGTGTTCTTTTACCTAAGAATTGGCCATCTTCTTTAGCTTAAAACTTTTCAGATATTCCATAAGTAGAAAATTTGTATCTATTAAGTTCTGTTGCTGAATTAGAAAAAATAGTTTCCTCCCCATGGGCTGTACATGTATATCAGTTTGCCTTGTGCATTTTGGATTCAATATTTGAGTCATTCACATCCAGTCTAATGTTTGGGGTTTTGGAAATATTTCCCTTAGCAAGGTTTAGCATACCTGATTTGTCCAGGATTTCAGGCATTACATAACTTCTAAAAGTTCTAATGACATATCAACTTTAAGTTTTTTAATTATAGCAATGCTATTACTTGACAGTTCTGTATTAGTTGAAAGATGCTGAAATACTTGAAATATGATGTAGTTGGCATCTTCTGATGAGGATGAGAGCACCAAGACAGGGTTCTTGTGATCCGATTGCACCTCTTGAATTGCCTCACTCTTTGCATGCTTTCCATCGGGTGTCTGAATCTGACGAACTCAATGTGGTGAGATGAAGTTCTTCTTCTCCTTCTCCTTCTTTATTTGTGTGTTAACTACTACTCGGTACATCTTCAAAAATAGATTCTCGTTTCTATTACGGAGTACTAAAAGTAAAGACAGTATAGAGAACAAGGCTTCCTTTTTTGGACTGAGACAGCATTATATTACGGAGTAGTATATTTGGTCGTTTAACAACATTGTACTAAATATACTTTCCTCTCCATGGATAAGATATGGGGAACATAGATATAGGCAAATCATCAACAAAGCACTACTGTGCGAGAACCATGCATTGCTTATAAACGACCAAATATACTTGGATGCCCTCCTGTTTTCAAATTACTTCTTAATCATTCAAATTAAGAAAAAGAGAGAGCTATGGCTGTGTCATTTTTTTATGTTGAACTTTTGCATTTTATTCAGGAAGGGTATCACACATTCCGTGGTGGATTCTGGAATTATTTCAGCATGGGTGAGTTTATATTTGGCCAATAAAGCCCCTTAAAGTTAACTAGCTTTCTCATTTTCTTGGCTGGTCTTTGTCTCCTTAATTTAATATTTCTCATCTAGTTTTATATTACAATGCTTCTTGGTTGGTCTTATGCCCCTCTCTGAATGCACGTTTAGTAGCTGTTCACTATTAGGCTGCGTTCCTTTCACCTGATCTGATTTGATCTAATTTTTTTGAAGATATGGTCTGGTCTGATTATAGTTGGTCTGATTATAGTTATATTTAAAACTGTTTATGGTTAGATTTTAATAAGAATAAGTAATAAGCTGAAAAATAAGGAGAACGGAGCGGACCCTTAGTCGGGTTTCTAAAGGGTGCAATATTGCACAAATTAAGCTGCATTCCCCTGAAATCTACAACAGCTCATGAATACTCCAATCTTAATGGTCCACTTAAGTGTCTTCAAATTCAGTTTGCCTGCATTTTCTCCTGGTTTAAGCAGACTTAGGTTTATTTTTATTTTTTATTCTTTATTATTTGTTCCTGACATTCTGTTGACAGGGATGGATGCACAAGTATCATATGCATTTCATTCTGAACGGAAGCTGCATCCAGAAAAATTCAAAAACCAGCTTGTGAATCAGGTATAATATGCTTAATTCTATAGTATAGTGTTTGTAATAAGTTATGTTTTCAGTGCAGTAAAAATGAGGGGATTTCTAAGCTTTATATTCTTTTGGATTGGTCAGAGTACATATGCAAAGCTAGGGTGCACACAAGGATGGTTTGCTGCCTCAATCTTTCACCCTTCCTCAAGGTGAGTATAAATGCTCGGTGCAATAATGAATTTGTTTCTTTATATGGTAAACTTAATGAATGCCTTGCTGTGAGAGAGCTGTTGATATTGTAGCTTGTACAAGCATAATGGCTATAAAGTTATACCTTTTTCCTCTCCTAATTTGTTCAGTGAATTGTCCATTGCCAGTGGAGCTAAAATAGCAATGGTTGCAATGTTTTAGGCTTTTAGCTTCAGTAAATAATGGTCCAAGTCAAAATTGCACATTAGGTTTCCTTTCCTTCTTATGTTCTTACTTTCCAAGACGCTTTGGGTAGTAAATGCAACAATGCATCGAGGGTTACTGAAAACAGTCTCTCTGTTATTTACGGGGTGCAAGGCGATGCACATCTTGACCCCTTAGACCCCAAGGAAGTTGGGATTGTATTAGGTGCCTTGTTTAATTTTTTCAGTGAAGCAAACCAAACTTGAAGCCGCGTTATGTATCATCAGTTGCTAAATTTCAGAATCTCTGTAGGAACATAGCTCAACTAGCAAAAGTTAAGATCATGAAAAGGCCAGGAGAATGGAAAGACCTCAAAGTTCCGCACAGGTAAATTAATTAGCAATGCCCTTCACAGAAATATGTGGATTTCTGTATCAATGCAGCATGTCTAAGGTGATCAACATACAGCTAAATTCTTCTTCTTTCCCCTCACATTTTCAGCATCAGGTCAATTGTATGCCTCAACTTACCCAGCTTCTCTGGTGGGCTGAACCCTTGGGGAACACCAAATATCCACAAGCGTCGAGATGTATGTATCTGTACTACTTCCGTCCCTACGCTTGAACAAACGACTAGTTGTGCATTACTCAGACCAAAAGAAATACAGAGTATAATTTTTCTGTTCTCATTTGCCAATATGATTCCATCATTTGTCTCATGATATTCTTAATCAGTGTAGAAATAACATATGATGATGGCAGTTTTAGAATTTGCATCTTACTAATCCTTCTTGTAGAGGTTGCGACAAGAAGGCCATCAGACCTAAAACATTGCCACTGTTGTTTTCGTGAATATAATGCTAATTAATTTTATGAAATCCATTGCCACGATAAATTCGATGTTGCTGACCCCCAACTATTCGGGATTAACGCGGTGATGATGATTTACCAATATGCAGAGGGACTTGACTCCCCCATTTGTAGATGATGGACTCATAGAAGTTGTTGGCTTTAGAGATGCTTGGCACGGACTGGTTTTGCTAGCTCCAAATGGACACGGCACACGTCTTGCTCAGGTTTTGTGACATTTACAACAACAACAACAACAATCTACTCTCATTTCTATTATCTTTACTCAATAGAGATCTCATGTCTTCTCCTTAACTTGGCTCTTTAGGCACATGGAATCAGGTTTGAGTTCCACAAGGGGGCAACAGAAGAGACATTCATGAGGATTGATGGGGAGCCATGGAAACAGCCCCTCCCGGTGGACGATGACACGGTAGTGGTGGAAATATCTCATCTAGGGCAGGTTAAGATGCTTGCCACCCATGACTGCAGGGCCAAGAGTGTGTATGACCCCTCTAGCCCATCCCACCGCGATGGCGATGATGGAGATAGTGGCGGTGAAGAAGATGATTCCATCGCCGAGGAACGGAGAAAGTTTGGGGCTGCAGACACCTTCAAGATTCCCGACGAGATCGACATTTCTACTCTCAGTTAAATACCATCCATCTCTTCTCACATTCTTTTATTTATAGCACTTGAAAAATACCATAATGCGTTCAGTTTTTTATTATTATTTAAAATTCTTCCTCAATTGCTGTATAGAAATGGGATTGCACTTCTCTCATTCTCTGACTCCCTCTCTTTGTCCCTTAATCTGCTTTTTTCTTTTTTTTGGTATTTCAGATATAAATGTCATCTTCTCTTTCAGTCCAGGAATAATATTGTTACATTTTTTTGTCTTTCTAAAATATCTAATTCATTTCCCACGCAGAAATTTGAGTGAAATTTTGCATATTGAGGAACACGAAGGAGGTTATAAAATGCGGTGTAGCAAAAGAAGAGAAATTGTTTGAACATGAAGATTTGTCACACGAAAGAGACGTTGAACAATCTATTGGATTTTTTTTTTACTATAATAGCGTTGTAAATTCATAAAAAAACTGATCAACAAATTTACATTGTAAATATGCAGTTACGAATGAATAAGTCAATTAAGGTAATAGGAATTATACATAAAATAATGCCCAATAGAAACAATTCTATCATATATTTATATACGGAGTATAAAATAATACTACCAAATATACAAATTATTAAGACGTAATAATTAAAATCCTTTGATAGGAATTGAGGGAAAAGTACTCCCTAACTTAACATGCTACCGAGTATATGATTTGAGTATTTGACAATTCAAAATAAAGTCTCTAAATAATCTTTCAAAATAAGTGTCAACTTAAGCCTCTTATTTAAGTCTTAATTCAATTCAAATCTAAAGATTGAAACTTGGAGTCTGGATATGTTTCTAATTTAAATTAAATTTTGGAGTCCTTTAACTAGAGTGTAGAGTTTACAGATAAAAACTTGGAATCTAAATATTAGAGATCAAAATTTGAATAACTAAAATTAAAAGTTGAATATAATACTCCGTAAAACTTTAGAATATCTTTAACTGAGTTGCTTAACTAAGATACGAGTGTTTCACAATGCAATTCTTCTTAAAATAAAGCAATTGGGGCTCAACATCAATTTCACATCAATTTTTTTTAAGTGAAGTAAATCACCATTAAAGAGACTTAGTAACAACTTAGTGCTGAAAAGTGCCAAAATTATTGTCCTAACCTCACATTAGTATTACCATTTCTTATTAATGAAGAACAAACTAATTTAAGGACAGTTTTGTCATTTAAACTTAAACTTGAGGTTTTTTGAAAAGTAAAAAACTAAATCCAAACAAAGAGAGTTTCTTACTTCCTTGAACAAAAGTATTATGCTATTCAAGAAGAGCATATTAGTAACCATTATATGGGGAACAATTAACACAGGAGGGATAAATCTCCAATCACATCTTTGAAACAATATCCAGAATTGTGCTTTAAAAAAAAAACTGATGCAGATTTGCAAGTTGCCTGAGCTTTGGGAGATGGAAACTCTATTACAGCATAATACAACATTGATAAACAGTGTTTTTTTGTTAGCAGGAGGAGAATGTCAATGATGTCCAAACCGGGGCGCAAGAGGAGATTTGAATTACCAGCCTGCAATCGGGTATATCCCCAAACATTTTTTTACAGCTTCATTAGGCTTCTGGCTTTCCCTTTCTTCCCTTTTTTTCTTCTCCCTGCAAAGGACTTAAGTTTAAGAGGATACAATATCGAAGGAGATTTAACCTAAAAAGAAAGGGTATGGTTTTATGGCCACTCTGTTTAAGTGGCCATGGAGGACCCTGAACACCGTAGGTGTCCCAATTGGGCTAGTAACTAATCAACTTTGCGAACGGAGCACCGTAGGTGTTCCAATTGAGACAGTGCCCTCCGTGGCCACTCAGAGAGAGTGGCCATGGAACTGGAGTGAAAAAGAAAAGGGTTTTAATCACCTGGTCACATATTCTTTCATAAGCTCTTTAGCCTGGACCAGCTTAGAGAGTAAATTGCGATAAACATCAAGATCCCTGTCCACACTTTGTTTGTTCACATTCAAGGCAGCACAAAGCTATGCAAGAATAACATTGTCATTAACATTAACAGTATTCATCATTGAAAATCTTTCTTCATATACTCAAACTTCTAAATAAGCCATCCCAAACGCTCTCTTAGAACTTTATCAGCACTAAGGACGGACAAGGTTACATGGTATCTACTCCTTTTTTCATTAACCATATAAAAACAAGGGCATAAATTAAATAGAAGCGAAGAAAGAAGTGGGTTCTTTTGTGTGGCAAGAACCCAAGATTAGGAACTAAAATCTTCAAATGATCTAATAATCTTATACCATCTGTTTTAGTTTTCCTTCTATTATTACAATGTGAGCTCTTTTCACTTTATGAAGATTCCATTATCAACAAGTGGACAGACTTCTCTTTCACCGACATGCATTGAGATAATAACATGAAATGCATTAAACCTACCTTCTCTAAGATGGTTGGTTCCGTTGCATTTGCTAGCTCAAGTAGGCGGAAGAGTCCAATTGCAAAGAACCGACTGTAGCTAAAACTGCCCTTTGTGGCAGCTCTTTTTGAAATGTCTTTTAGGATGTTTTCAACCTCTCCTTCCCTTGATGAAAACTCAACAAGATTATTGGCATTCTGGATGCTCGCCCACGCTTCTAACTTTTGTGCATCAATTCTGAAAAAAAAAAGCAACAGGATACTAAGGGTCAGCTTGGATCACAGTAAACATTAGAGAAAAAAAGTTATTTTCTCAGTATTGGTTATACATTTGAAGGAAAATGGAATATGATTATTTTTTTGGTATATTTCTTAGTACGTACGTATATAATGCAAATAGATAGACAAAACGAATTTGAGCAAACATCTAAAAGAAACCTGTCATGTTTGAGGAAACCCTCTATTTCCCCTCAAACTTAATTTTCTTTTAAATTTTCCCTTCAAGTTTATTTCTATAGTCTTTTTCAGATTCCAAACATACCCTTAACCTGTCAAATATAGAGAAATGTGAATGACATACATAGTAGTATTCAAGGGAAAAACCTGTACTGATCAGGATCCTCGTTCAATGCCTTGATATAAGCTCTGAAAATAGCCTCTTTGTCCTCCTCGGTCGGATAGCCTTCCATGAGCCGATCATATACCGTAACAAACCCGAGGGAAAAAATGGGATCATACTGATACGATTTCTTGTACCTCATCAAATGCTGCTGCACAATCAGTTCTTGTAGCACAGAACCATACACACTCGGAATCGGCCGTCTGTAAGACATTAAGAAATTCCTTTTTGTCTCTGCCACGGTGGGCACCTCTGAAGCTGTGAGCACCTCTATTACAACATCAGTGCTACAAATTGTTACAAAAGCCTTTACAAAATTACGGTATTATATTAGCACTCCAACAATACTTGCAAGAAGAAAAATCCTACTCTTTTCTTCATTTGAAATTATTAGATCTTTTATATCTCAGCATTCATTTCTTTTCAGCTTCTGGTGATGCCAAAAACTGGAATTCAGCTAAAACTTGGAAATGAATACTCACTCTATCCCTAGATTGACTTCAATGTTCAGATTTGGCATCATTATCTACAACTATAAGCTATACAAAACTTATTTAAGGACGGAAGGAGTAGCTCTGTAGAAGGTGAAATTCGGATTCTTACCGGCGGACATGCAGCGAACTGGGGCGCGGGAAGTGCGGAAATGGAGAGAATCGAAGGCGGAGCTGGTGCGAAAGCGAAACACATCTGAAGTGGATGAGAAAGGACAAGCAAAAGGAGATGAAGAGACATTGAACCCCTTCCTCTCCGGTGATTGGCCGATCGCCGGAAAGGAGAGTGAAGTAACGGCGGCCATTGCCGGAGATGGGAGGAGGGTTTGAAGTGACAGGTGGATTATCCTCAGAGGAAGCGGAAGTGGTTTTCCATATGGAAGGAAGTGAGAGTTCTCAGAATGAAATGGAAGGTGAGGTTCGGATTCTGAGGCTTATCCCCTTTGCCAACTGGCATGTCTCATTATTATTTTTAGTACTTGACAACGTAGCCAATGACAAGTAAGAAATTGAATATCACACAATGACGTGAAGTATTTTAGCTAGTCAAAAATGGTCCAATCACCGTGTGTTACATGAATGGAGTGGCATGTCTTGCAGTGACAAGTCACTCCTTTTATCATTTTTTACACATTTTAAATATATTTTAATTATTAAAAATTATTTTACTTGCCTTTTTTTAATAAAAATAATCATAATCTTTTTTTGGCAATGTTAACATTTTTGACATATTTTAATTAGTCCATGTGTGCTTTTTTTATTATAAATTATTGCATTTTCTTGTAAAGATTTTAATTGTACAAAGAGAAAATTAATTTTTTAAACTTAAATTATATAAAAATATTTTTAATTATTTTACTTATTTATTTTATCATAAAAATATTTTTACTTCTTTATAGGAAAATATTATTCATTAAAAAAACCCCAAAAAAGAAAAAAAAATGGTGCAAAAGTGCCACGAACAAGCCTCGCAAAGAGGGGTGGAACGCTTCCTCCATGCCTCGCAAACAAGGGATGCCATATGACGTGGCAGGCGAGGCACCAATTTGACTCGCTGCTGTACCTGCTCTAAGCCCTCCTCTTTTATATACTCCATCTGTCCAATTTATTTGCAACACTTCGAACGACGTGCAAAATATCATCTCTTTTAAAATCACTTTAATTTCAAATTGGTAGAGTAATAAAAAGTAAAAATTACACCATTTAGAAGTATATGAAAAACTCTACAAAACAAGATGCGACAAGAATATTTTATTTTATCAAATGATCAACCAAAATGAGTAAAAAAACAAAAGTTATCGAGAGGCCAGGATAGTAAACGTGGCATTCTTTCTGGGACGGAGGGAGTAGAATTTTGAGAGTTAGATTTGGAAAAAAATTGAATGAAGTTCAAAAAAATTTTAAATAATTAAAAAATGTTAGAAGAATTAAGGTATTAAAAAGTTATCCAATTAAATAATTATTAAATTAAATATGTCAAAAAATCTTCAATTTTAGATAAAATTTTTTTATCCTTGTTCATGTTTCAAGTGATATGTTATAAATTTTGATATATAATGTTATTGTATATTCATCGTATATAAATATTTTTTTAAGTCGTTATTGAAAAAAAACTGAAAGGAGTTCGATAAAGTTTTTTAGATTTTTAAATAAAAAAACAGGGCCTAAGTAGGAACAAATTGATTTTTAAATATCACTTTAGATAAACACAAAAACATATGATATCTACCTCTCTAAAACACTGGTGAAAAACATAAGTTAACGTGTCAAATAGAGTAAAATAACAATCAATTAAATTAAAGAAATCAAACTATTCGATGTGTCGTACTAAATCCTCTAGTATCAGCCTGAATAGTAAGCCGAAAAGAATTGTACTTTGATTTCTCTGATACTCTCAAACGTACAAGAATCTCGTTCATAATACGATCATTCTTTTTTAAATATTGTGTCACTAGTCCTCTCAACCAGTAAAACTATGTTCGGTACTCATGATTTTATGACTCTTTTACGAAATATGAGCCCCATCGCGACGGTCCCCTCAATTATATGACTCTTTTATCGGTCCTAAAGGTGGAATAGTCCACCCAGACGCCTCCACCCCTGACCCGACAGATATGGTGGATGAGGTAAATCATGGTGACTCAGTCGGCCAAGAACGTTAGACCCGTGTCCACCGCGCACAAGGAGCCTACTCACCCTTTATGAGATTTTTGAATAGTTTCCACATTGCTGCTTGCAGGACTCGATCTTGGTCATCGATTCAAAATTTTACATTCTTGACCAACTGAGCTGCCCATGTGGGCTTCTACTACTCTTTTATGACTTGTGAGAGGAAGACTTGGCTTAAAGTGTTATAAAAAAGACCTCCAAGTCCGAACACACTTGAAGCCTTGAAGGTGCACAAGAGAAAAAAATGGAAATTTCAAGCGAGAAAATGGTGTCGGAAACAAAGAGCTGGAGTATATGCAAACTCCCTTTCTGGAATTCCACAAATCTCTCTTCTTCGTCTTCATCTACTTCTTCTTACAGACTTCAACACGACAATGGATTTGCAGGCTACCATCAGCCCAGTAACCTTCACAGCGCCTCCTCCGCTAAGCCCACTTCTATCAACATCAAGTCTCTCCTCCCCACTCGTCGCCGGCTCAGCCTTGATCCTTCCAACAAGCTCTATTTCCCCTGTAAGATTCCATTTCCCCCCTTGGGTTCAAGACCCTGATCTGTCTAGCTTCTTCATCAATCTTGTTTCGGATGATGTTGGGTTTTTGAGATTGTCTGAGGTTTCTTGATTGACTTGCTGATCTGTATCAAATTTGCCCTCTTTTTAACCTTTTCTTTTTTGCAGATGAACCTGGGAAACAAGTCAAGAGTGCGATCAGAATCAAGAATGTTAGCAGGACTCATGTTGCCTTTAAGGTATGGACAAAAATGCAGTTTGCTTCCCTTTTTGACAATCTAGAAAAAAGGGAGGGTTCCATAATTTGGGTGAGAAATGAGGCTTTGATTCTAGTAGTTGATATACTTTAATAGTTGATATACTTTGATAGTATATTCCCATTTGTGGCAATCCTTTTTGGTGATTGGGTTTGGTTGATTAGTATCTGTTTTTTGCTTTGTATGATAGAATAGTTAATTAGTGGTACCAGTTTGGTTAACTTAGCAAGTTTATCCAACCAATTCAAGTATTGGTGTAGATCCGGGAGTCCGGGATAATACTATATGAGGCTAACACTATATGATCCAAAATTTTCATTTTCCCATTTTCATTGTTGTGCAATAAAAGAATTGATTTGTTACTTCTACTCCTTTAAGTGTATGTATATGAAAATACTTATCATTGTCATTGTATAAGCCCTTATTATATCTTTCGTTTCATTTATAGTTCCAAACAACTGCACCGAAAAGTTGTTACATGCGTCCACCGGGATGTATACTTGCTCCGGGAGAAAGTATTATTGCCACAGGTAATAATATCTCTTTCTTTTCCTACCCTTTTCACTGTATTGTGCCGTTTTTTTACTTAGCCGATATTTTTGTGCTATGTTTCATGACTTTTTGTGGTTGGTTATCTACAGTTTTCAAATTTGTGGAGCCTCCCGAGAATGATGAGAAACCAGTTGGTATGAAGAGTGGAGTCAAGTTCAAGATAATGAGCCTAAAAGTTAAGGGGGATATGGAATATGTTCCGGAGCTGGTAAATTGTTTTCTTTTTATGCATTCTAATGTTTATTAGAACTATATGAACTAGGTCTCTAATCCATTGACATTAGTGTTTCTTCCCCTTGTATTATGTTTTTCAATATTTTTTTCGATTATCATTTCATATTCAATCTGTTCTTGCAAATTCATTTCCCTTTTGATCCTGCTATACTCGTAATTACATTCGACCTTCCAAACTCGCCGTCGTATATACTCCCTATGTCCCAAAACAAAGGTTATGCTTGACTTCACGGAGGTTAAGAAGTGTTGAAAAGTGAAAAGTTTATCGTTATAATATGCTTAGAAGAAATAGAAAAATGATTTGAGCCACGCATTCATTTCCTTAAAAGGAAATAAGTAAAGTGTAAAGTTTATTTTGGGATAGATGGAAAAGAAAAGTGTGATGTTTATTTTGGGCCGGACAGATGAAGTATTTCAAATCTAACACTAACCAAACCTTTTTACGTAGTTTGATGACCTAAAGGATGAAGTGTCAGTGGAACAGATACTAAGAGTAGTCTTTCTTGATGCAGAGAACCCTTGCCCTGTGAGTTGGTTTCCTTTCCTATTTAATGGGGTGGAAAATATTTGTATTTCTAATATTTCCATTTATACCTGCAATTCTTGGTTCTATATATGTTGCCCTTTTTGTCACAATTACCCTGAATCTCTCAAGGCATTGGAGAAACTTAATCGTCAACTGGCTGAGGCCGAGGCTGAGCTTGAAGCACGCAAAAAGCCCTCCTCGGAAGACAGCCGTCCCAATTTTTTGGGTGAAGGTCTGATAATAGATGAATGGGTATGACTTTTTTGCCCCTTAGTCAATACAGCAGCTCTGATTTGTGCCCCATTTTGTTGTGCATTGAGAGAATATGAATTGCATATACTATTGAGTCATATGACTAGAGTTGCAATATGCTTTGTATATAAAGAACAATGTAAGAATAATTACAAGAGAGCCCCAAACTATGAAATAACTATAAACTAGTCAATGTTTATTACGCAGAAAGAACGGAGGGAAAGATATCTAGCACGACAGCAGGCTGAGGAGCTGAGCTCTGCCTAAACAAATGCAGCTGGACTTCTCTACTCTAACATTGAGTTTGCGAGGAGCAGATGTGGGACCCGAAGAGGATCGGAGGCGTCTAACATTGGTTTGTTTGTCTGTACTTGTGTATTTGAGTTGAGAGCCTCTTGGAAACATTTTCTCTACTTCCAAGTAGGGGTAAGGTCTGCCTACACTCACCCTCCTCCCTCCTCAGACCCTACCTCGTGTGGGATTCTATTGGGTTCGTTGTTATTGTTGTTGTATTATCCATGTTTGTGTACCGTTGGTTGATTCGTTGATACAGACAACATTGTACTATGATTCTGTCCATTTTGTATATGGATTACATATTTTTAACAAGAAAAGAAGGATTTTAAAGGGATTGTTTGAAGGGAGAAGACCTTGAGTATGCTTTCATTTGGAAATTTTGATATCAACTTTGAACTATTCAGGGCCTGTGGAAATTTTTAGGAGGGCTTGTCCAAGAATTAAACTAGACTTCTATAGATATAGTATGTTGTTTGCTCTTCTTTCACCTAAATGTAAGTCATCAATATGTAAGTGTAAATATTAGACTACAACTTTTGGAGTATACCTAGCATGGTTGAACGAGAAAAAGAGAAATCATCTTAAATAGAAGTAAAACATAGAGAAAGTTTTAAAATAAAAACTCCATATTTTTATCCGCAACATAATAGTTTGCATTGCGATAATATAACGATACATTTTGGTATTATATTTGCATTGCAACACCAATTTTAGGAATAAAAATATAAACTCTTACTCCCATGTAGTGGCATAACTGGATTTTCTCATTAATTACTTGTTAAACTAGCATGATTATATGGAGTATCAATAATTAATGCAGTAGACTGACTCTTTTGCCCTCATGTGGGAATGTGGGCTAAACGACAATAATCCACAGACAGAAAATACATCATGAACCCAAGGAAGAGTGGGGAGTGGGGCCCATCTTGGCGTGGATAGCTAGCTGAGGATGAGTCATGGGTTCCCCATCCGGATAAGCACGCCACGTGGCTGACCCTCGTTTGTCCAATACCCCTCCCCCCCATCCACCCCCTCCCAAAACCACCTGGTTTCCTGTCCCCGGTTTTCTATTCCCTCCTCCGCCTTCTATAATAAGAGGGAACCCATCGCCCAATCCAATTCATCAAATCCAATTTTCCAAACAATTCCTGAAATTCTCCTTTCATTCATTCATTCATCCGAAGAACGGCGCGCGCAGGGATGAGTTACTTGAACCGAGTTTGGGCGGCGGCGAGCGTGGCCTTAGCCAACAACCACTCCGATCAGGCGCAGAGACTGAAGCCCGGCCTCAGATCCCTCAGCCACGGCAAAAAATGCTTCTCCTCTTCCCCCGCGCCCGATCTGCGGCCGCTCTCCGGCTCCGATCTCGGCGGCATTGCCGGAAGAGGGGATCGGACCGTGCAGGTCGACGACTCGCTCAGGCAAGTCATGTACATGAGCTGTTGGGGACAGGGGTGACGGCGGCGCCGGAGAGATGGCGAGTTTTCCGGACCGATCCGAGCGGCAAATGGATCAATTCCTGAACTGTAGGTGGAGCATGCAGAAACCCAATTGTAAAGTAATGTATAGTGCTGTATCTATTCTCATGTATGTATGTATGTATGTATGTATGTACATATGATGAAAGATCGTTTAATGCTTGAAATCGAGATGGATCTTGCGTGCTTCTTTATCTCCTGCTCAAGTAATTAAATAACATCTGAAATGAATTTCCCGTTGAAATGTTGTCTGTATCAATCAATATTCCTTTTTGAGCTTCTTGTTTGTTAATCTGCTAAAAAATGTGTGTAAATCTGGATGAACACTAGCGGCACATCCTTTCACCTAAGTTGCACCGAGACGGGGATAAGAACTTCTACGAGGACGGATCAAGAAGCGTGAAAGCTTCAATTTCTTTCATAATTTATAAAAGATTAACCTAAATGGGGACAGAAAGGCGGCACTTATTTGAAAATCCGTGCAACGTAGCCTTTAACCAGTTAATCCAGTCCAAGGATTCCTGAATCCTGCTCATCCCGTTTGGAAGTTCTCTCCCCCACCAAAAACAAATATCAAAAATTGATTTTAGAATGTACTCCATCCGTCCAAGTCCGTCCCTGTATCTTTGTGGGTTTGCCTTTTTTTCGAGTCAAAACTGGACAAATTTTAAGTTTCAATTAAATAAAAATCGTAAAGTATTTTGATATAAAAATGACTTTATTGGATTTATCAGATTGAGAAATTTCAAAATTGTATTTCATTGTGTTAATATGCAATATAAATTGAAAGTAATTGAAGTTCAAAGTTTGTCCAGTTTGACTCGAAAATATCAAACTGGACAAATACACTAGTACGGAGGTAGTAATGTAGACTTATGTGTGGGCCGCATTTACAATCAAAATGCAATTTGCTCAAACATTTTACTAGGAGCACCACACATTTTATTTGAATTTTTATTTACTTATTTTTTTAAAATTTTTTTTGCCTTTTTTAGTGGACAAGGAGGGGGTGGGGGACATATGGGGTACACCTTTGGTGTGCCCCTAGCATTTTTCTTTTACTAGTGATGCTTTGTGTCATTGCCCCATCATTGTTGAACATTGCCCTTGAACCATTCATTATATTGGACTACTAAACTACTGAATTAGTATCTTGACTAATTTGATTTTGAAAATAATATTTAAATTGTCACAACTATTCGTTTTATTTATTACATCTCATTTAGTATATTTCATTGAATTTCAGTAAGGGTATTTTAGTAAATTTTTACATTTTTCAACTCAGCTTAAAGGACAAGTCAATTTGAAAATGTTTTGTGGCGGATGAAGGGAGTACATTTTTAACATAGATGACAACCTAGAGTAATGATATAAAATTGACTAATCATGAGGGTAGATGAACGAGTGAAATTGCCTCCATTCAGTTTTGGAATTGTGATTAGAAGTAAACTAATAATTTATATTTCACGTTTTGAGAAATCAAGCGAAACAGTTGAGATGGCCGAGTTGGTCTAAGGCGCCAGATTAAGGTTCTGGTCCGAAAGGGCGTGGGTTCAAATCCCACTCTCAACATAAATATTTTATTTGAGAGTATATAATCTATATATATTTTACCGCTTAAAAGAAAATTAACTTCTCATTTTTTTTTGGATTTTGGGGACTTTCTCATAACATTGCTTATCAGTCATAATATGGTTCGAGAGTGCTATGTTCTCTCGTACAAAAAATAAACATTTTTTTAGAGTATATAATCTGGATGTTTTACCGCTTAAAAAACAAATTTAACTTCTCTTTTTTTTATTTTGGACACTTTCTCATAACATTTTTTATCAATGTCGTAATATGATTTGAGAGTGTTATGTTGTCTCGTACAAAAAATAAACATTTTTTTGAGAGTATATAATCTATATATATATTTTACCGCTTAAAAAAATTAACTTCTCATTATTTTTTTGGATTTTGGGGACTTTCTCATAACATTGCTTATCAATGTCATAATATGGTTCGAGAGTGCTATGTTGTCTCGTACAAAAAATAAACATTTTTTTAGAGTATATAATCTGGATGTTTTACCGCTTAAAAAACAAATTTAACTTCTCTTTTTTTATTTTGGACACTTTCTCATAACATTTTTTATCAATGTCGTAATATGATTTGAGAGTGTTATGTTGTCTCGTACAAAAAATAAACATTTTTTTGAGAGTATATAATCTAGATGTTTTACCGCTTGAAAAAATATAACTTCTCATTAATTTTTTTTGATTTTGGGGACTTTCTCATGAAGAAAACTCCCTAAATAGGAATAAAACATGGATCATATTTTTAAAATAAGAGTTCAAACTTAAACTCTCCTAATTAAATATATGTTTTGATTAGCCCTCCTGGCCGCACAAACTAAGTTGGGCGACAGTTTGTGTAAAAAAATGTAATACTCTCTCCGTCCCAAAAAAATTGTGACATTTTGACTAAATTGGTAAAATAAGGAGGGATAATTTTGTTTTGACTTTCCAAAAATTTTATTGATGTGATGGGTAAAAGTAGGATGTGATGGATAGATTATTAGAAAAAAGACATGATGTGATAGGTAGGGTATGAAAAAATAAGGTGTAAAAGTGAGTTTTTAATAGAAATGAGACGGACTTTAAAGGACGCAAATTTTTCGAAACGTAACAGACTTTTTGGGACGGAGGGAGTATATCATAGTGTAAGGTTGGACTCCCAATACTCATTAAACAAAACTAATGGCAAATAGTAGAGTTACTTGACAGTTACTTGTTTTTAATATTATGAATTAACATATGTGATATGTAACATTATACATTGACATATTTTTCATTGTACATTACCAAAAATGATATTATACAATGTCAAGATTGGCATTATCTATTTAATTTGTTTTGTAACGCCCCAAAACATACCCTAATATTTATTGAATTAAATATTCAATTAAACAAATTTGTTTTGATTAAAAATAAATTGTTGTTGGGCTTTGCGCCAAAATAAAATATGTTATCCAATATCATAATCCGGATAAATCTTATAGAGATAAATCCACTATGGTGACCTACTGTGTGATCTTAATTTGGGAACTAGAGTATAGGCCCAAATTAGGAACAAATGAAAGATTTGTTTATAATGTAAACTTTGAAATGATTTACTCAAATAAATCATGAAAATAAGTTATATGAATTAAAAGTGAGAACCTTTTTGAATAAAGGTCAACTAAATCAATTTTGACCCTGTCAAAGTCAAACATCCAAAAATATGGTGTCTGAAAAAGTATACCAAATAAACATAAAAATTATATCATTGAATAGAGCTTGACTGTCTAATCGCAACGGTGCAAACGGAATTCGATTCGGAGAAAGTTAAACCAAAAAGTGTACCCCGACCGGAACAAAAAATTGGTCCCAATCAGGGACACTGTGCGAACGGCGCCTCCTCCTCCACTCAGCCGATTCCTACGTAGAAGCAGCTCAGCATTGTCCTCTTCCCCTTCATAAACTCCTATATAAGGAGTACTCAAAACCTTCAAACATGCATCATTCTTTCTCAAAATTAGTCCATAAGAATCCTGAGAGTGAGGAGAGAGTGGTCTAGTGTTGTTGATTGTTGTTGAAGTCGCCGGAGCTAGCCACAAACCTCGCCGGAAGTTTCGCCGGAAAATTTCCAAAACCTTCAATAAGCTTCGAGGTAAGCCCCTAGATATATCTAATGACTAGAATGTTCATATAGGTCGTTTCTACGTTCATAAATGCTCATTTGGTTGAGTTTTTGTTTGACATGCTTGGAGAACTAAGAATCATAAACTATGAAATTGATGTTAAAATTATGAATTAATGATGCTAAAATGATCTATGAACCTTGGAGAACATTTTTATACACTTTTAATTGAAGTTTGGTAAGTAAAAGTGACATTTCCGCAAGTTGGCTCGAGGTAGAAGACGATGGATAACCGATTATCAACTTGAAAATTGATTATTCATCATTCTGTAGATTTTTGGAACTTAGCTGAGCAACAGTCGACTGTCAGAATGTGACAATCGACTGACAGCCCTCTCTGAAGTTTGACAATCGATTATCAGAGTGTGATAATCGATTATCAGCCCATTCTGAACATCAGACAGTAGATTATCAGAAGTGAGAGTAGATTGTCTCCCTACACTATTGAAGAAAATGAAACTAATAGTTAATAATTGAATTTCCTATCATATATTAATCAATTATTGTTTAGAAAACATGATTTTTGAACTATGGAATCCTACTTTTGATACCAATTGATTATGATTATTATAAAAATGATTTTGTACAATAACAATGGTGTTATTGACAAATAAAATCTTGTGTGATGCATGACGGTGAGTTCGGGTGTTAACACTCGAGACTAGGCCGCTATTTGTTATTAAATGTTATGTTAAACGATCATTATGATGAATTATTATTGTGGCCAATTATGAATGATAAACCTACTGATGAGAATGATTATTGATGATTAAATCATGATTAAAAATAAATATAATGGTGATCATGAAAACGGTGTATATTGTTAAGGATATCTAGAAGAACTCTAAGATATACCCACTTGTATATTGATGATGATTATTAAGGATATCTAGAAGAACACTAAGATATACCTCCTTGGCCAATTCGTAATTCGAGGTTAAAACGTACGTACGGGATCCAGAACGGATATCACCCACCCGACAAATCACTGTTCGGTTGGTATGTAATCCACATGACTCATAGGGTGGATTATCGATTCTTGTGTTCTGCATTAAACTATTTATAGTTTAAGGGCCTGGTTAGAATTACTGCCTTAGACTATGAATAGCTAAGAGCTGAATATAAAATGATGTGGCCTTAGATTAAGAATAATTTAAGAGCATTATTGATATATTGAATATCAAATGACTTGGAATCAAATATTGAAAATATTATAAATGTTTGAACCATATATTGTGTGCATGATATCAAATGGTTGATTATGAATTGAGATTCAATTTATGTGAATGTTCGACGCTTTAGATATGCTTACTCAGCTTCACCGCTGAGCGTGTAGTGTGTTTTATTTGCTACACACAGGTAAACAGAAAGATTAATGTGATCCTGGCGGCAGATGGGGCGAGATTGTCGGGATGGATGTGACAAGTTTTGAAATGATTTATGATATGTCAATATTAAATTCACTTCCGCAATATTGTTAAATACTCCGTACTGTATATGTTATGAAAAATATTATTGAGATTAATAAAGTGTGTTTGAAAAGTTTTAAATTTT